CCTTCCCAGTGCAGTCCCGTTCCACCAGGAACAGCTTGGTGCATCCCAGCCCTAACCCACCCTGCGCAGATCTGGGGGCACACCACCTCCCCCTGACCTCCTGGATGAGTGGCAGGAGCAGCAGCAGGAGCTGCCAGATGAGCGGGCAAGCGCTAGACCAATGGTTCTGGGCTGAGCAGCGCACACTGGCAGAAGCCACGCCCCCCCTGGCAGCTCCATGCCATGTCTGCCCCACCGTGGCTAGCACTTGCCCCAGCCCCATGCCCTCCCTCACCACAGAGGCCTTGATCTGCCCCCCGCCCGCAGCCCCTTCCCTCCCTCCTCCCTTTCCACCACACCAGACTTACCAGCTAGAGGCAGCTCTTCACTCTGCCAGGCTGGGTATTGGAAATCAGATTGGTATCAGCCGATATACCGCCTTAAAAATTGGCTATCAGTACAGGTCCCAAAAATCTCTATTGGTGCACCCCTCGTAGGCAGTGCTGTTACAATAGAAGAAATCGATCTTTCTTATTCTTACTTTGACTGGTTGTCAATACATATTTTTGACATGAGAAAATGTCATAGATTAAACAAACATGGTGGAAAATTATATTGCTTAAAATCATCTTAAGGAGACACTCAACACTGCGGTTAGGCTCAACAAGATTTTGTCAGACATTTTGAAAATCTTAATAGGAAAGGTTATGTTAATATTTTTAATGAAAGCAGCTTTGAGTAGATTTAAATACTTCTCTGTAATTTTTGCAACCCAGAACTGTGCTTTGCATGAGTGCCAGAAAGAGAGATGAAGTAGAATTGCAAGCAAAGCAGACTACTTGTTTTCACCATTCACAGGCTGTGGGACAGGCAAACAGTTAAGAGGTGATTAAAAGTACATTTGTCTTTAAGTGTACTGCTATTTCTTTTTTCTTTTTGTTATAAAAGGTGTTTCTGGTAAGATAGGTAATGACATTTATTTAAGCATATGCAAAGCCAGGACCTCAATGTACAATGCCAGTTTAAAATGGCATTGTTCCACTCCCTTCCAATGGACCTATATAGGTTTACAAGCTAGCTGCAGATCTGGCCCATGCCTTTAAGCCCATGAGAGTCCCATTAAGTATTAGTAATAAGCAGGTATATAAATAAAGAGTCTGGGTATGTAGACACTCAAGTATGTAGATAATTTTACTCAGCTGTATGGGTTGTCTGGCTGTTATTA